ACCATTTCTTTTCACCAATGGCACCCGCCAAGGATGCCCATTATCGCCCCTGCTGTAGGTTGTGGCATTAGAGCCGCTGGCGGCAAAAATCAGAAGCTGTGGTGCCATACACAGAGTGCTGGTCGGAGATAGAGAATATAAAGCAAACTTGTTTGCAGATGATATTCTGTTGAAAATAACCCAACCACAGATATCCCTACCGAATTTATTCACAACAATCCGCGAATACAGAGATAATTTTTATTACAAACTGTGTCAAAGACCCAATCAATGGGTGTGGGTATTGTGGGGATATTTATGGGATAATAATAGTAAACAGTTGAGAATTGCCCACTAATTCAATTCTCAGATCCCAAAGAACGTTTATCGTGTTAAGTGGAATGTATTTCATATAATTAATATCACAATGTATAAAAATAGATTTTTATTTATATGACAAATTAATTAATAATAATATTATGCAACATGCATGACAATAATCAATGAATATTCAGTATAAAATGGTATGCAATACAAAGAAATGGGTATTATGTTTCAATGGCTAAACGGCATTATCTGTCAAGACTTCTGACGATTTATGAGGTATCCTTACACAGATTGAAAGTGAAACTTTTCACACAGAGAACAGAATTCCTCAGAGTGCAGCATAAGGTCGTAAAGTTTAGCAGACAGTTAGAATAACCCTTTCAATGCTGGCTAGATCTCCTAGGTAGTTAAGATCTATTCTTATGTAATTTTTAAATAAAATAACATTTAAACCAGTTCACTAGTCATTTTCTTAAACCATCCAATAAGAGAATCTAATATATTATATAAGCAGATTTTTAATTTGTCTAAAAGATATCTATCTTAATTTAGAGCAAATCAATACACCTGGATAAAAACAGCGGTATGCTAACACGTGATAATATCACATCAATATATAATTATTCTTAATTCCACCTGCAGAATGGAATGTTTATAACTATATATTCTTAGTTAACTAAGATTTCTTAATATGGAAATCTGACCGTGCTTTATCCAGTCATATATAATGCTATTAATACATTTTAATTAATTTAATTTAATTAAATGAAACCAGTATAATTACCAGTTGAGTAGATATTTCATCCGATTGGTAGTCTCAGGAACTTATTTGGATGTCTCTCTCTGCATGGAGGTTGGAGTCCCCAAACTTCCAATTCCTCTCTCCTCTTTTTCTTTGCATATCTCTTGGATCTGCCTTTGGATCTCTCTATCTTCCCTTTGTCTTAACTTTTAAAGGGCCAGACTCTCTGTACGTCATCAGTTGATAACCCAATAGAAGTACTAGAGGTGTGGTTATCTTCCAGATCGCAAATTAGTTATTTGGTCTATAGAGGGCAGTCTTGTCCCACTAAACATACCTATCCAGGAAAGAGTTAACTTTTCCTGGTGGCTATTTTGACGTCATTTTGCTTATCTCAAATGACCACTATAACTTACGTATCCTTCAAAGATCAAAGGGTTTCTTAAATTTTGTCCAGACTATGTGTCTGGTAAATCTGCTATAATTTCTGATATGGCAGATCATGAACTAAGTTTACCCTTTTCCATACAATGGTACCTTATATATATATAGACAGTAAAATTTTATTATTTAATCTTCTCTGTCACAATTGTCTGGGTTTAGATTTGATTATATTCTTCTTATCACTTGTTTGTATATACTATGCATTCCTCAGCTCTGGGAAAGTGGTTAGCTTACAGATAGAAATCTAGTGTCTTTTTTCTTAACTTGAAATAACAAAATGGAGTCTGGTCTGTTCAGAGTGACTCAGAATATACACTTTTAGTTTCTATCATAGCACAAGATGTCCGCCGATATAAATACCCTGACAGTATCAACCCAGACCGGTTAGACAGATTTCATACTGCATTCACGTTTGGTTGGTGATCAAACTTTATCATGTTTTTAGGCATTAAAATACCAAACCACCTACCACACCTATTAAAACTAAATTACTCCAAGATATGACAAATACGATATGAGGCTGGGAAGGGAAATATTCATCATGGCTGGGTAGATTGGCCGCGGTAAAGATTTCGGTACTTCCTAAACTACAGTATTTGCTGTGTCCACTGCCGATCTTTTTGCCAAAGTCGTATTTAGCAGCGATCCAGCGACTCTTCATTTGCTTTGTATGGGCTAACAAAAAGGTGCATGTAGCAACAAAAGTATTACAGAGGACAATTAGAGAAGGGGGACTGGGACTACCGAATGTGAAGCTATATTATAAAGCGGCAATACTGTCCGCCATAGCAGCCACTAAAACAGCATCAGAACCCCTCCAGTGGCTACACGTAGAATCCCACTGGGCAGGCTAACAAGGATTGGCACCCCTATATAGGGTACCCAAAGACATACGTCCTAAATATTCCGAAATGCTGCTGACAATGGTCCTGATGTTCAAGACTTTGTGACGAGGTACATGAGAATGACCGAGCCCAATATGGCACATACTTCCTTAAAAGATATCAGTGTGGGGATAGTGACTTTTGACTATACCCCATGGATGAAGGGAGGATGCACACTGCTACCACAACTATGGGACAATTATAAAATACTACCGTTTCCAGATATTCGGACCAAATTCCAGCTACCCAGCTTGTATCGCCAACTCAAGTCATTCTTACATAAAGTCAAAGTGAGCATGAGTCCCATTAAGACCCTAGAAAAGATATGTCTACCCCCCAAAAAATGAGGAAAACTGTCCCAATTGTACACTTTTCTGCTGATGCACATCATAAACAAAGGACAGGATTTTAGAGAGGCATGGCAGAAAGAACTGGGAAGGGAGATGGATCACCGATCATGGGCGAAAGCATTCTTCATCCATAGGGGCTCAACCACTTGTGCGTCTCACTTAGAAAATAATAGCAAAATACAATATAGATGGTACATGGTCCCTGACAGGTTGTCCCAAGGGTTTCCAATAAATGCTGGAGATGCAAGGAGGGGGTGGGGACTATCCACCACATCTGGTGGATGTGTCCTAGTATCAGATCATTATGGGTAATGTTGGAGGCAGTGGCGTACACACGACCCATGGGGCCCCGGTGCGAAAATTGATCCTGCTATGTTTCACTGAGGGTTAATCCAGCCTCTAGTGGCTGTCTCATTGACAGCCACTAAAGGTGCTTCCGCGATTCTCACTGTGAAAATCACAGTGAGAAGACACGGGACGTCTATAGGAAAGCATTGAGTAATGCTTTCCTATGGGCAGATGGAATGCGCGCGCGGCTCTTGCCGCGCATGTGCATTCGGAGCCAAGAGGCGTATCGGGGCGGAGGGACACCCAGCGCCAAGGGAGTCCGGCGCTGGAGAACGGTAAGTGCTGTAGGGGTTTTAAATGCGCACACACACACTCTCACGAACAGACCCATACACACTAGCTAACAGACACACACATTTACTGACAGACACACTCAGTGAGAGACATACATACACACTCACTTACAAAACAGACTCACTAAAAGACACATACAGTAACACACTCACTGACACACAAACTAACACACACACTGATACTCACTAGCAGACACACACTCAATAACACTCACAAACTAACACACACAGTAACACACACACAAAAACTAAGACACTCACTAGCAGACACACACACAGTAACACATACTGACACAAAAACTACATTACATTACTACACACACACTCTAACACCAACACATGTTTTTTGGTTTTTTTAAATGTGATCCCCCCCAGCTTCCCTACCTTTGGGAGTGCTGAGGGGGGTTCCTTGGGGTCCAGTGGGGCTGCCTGGCGGCTGGTCCTGTAGGCGGCGAGGGAGCACTGATGCTCCTGTCAGGGCCGTCTTTAATATTGATTGGACCCTGGGCAAGAATTTACTTGGGCCCCCTGGATCCCGCCTTCCCACACCCTAGCATGCAATCACGCCCTCCACCACAACACACACACATACCAAAATAAATAAATAAATAAATAAATAAACACACAACTCGTAGAGTAGTAAACTTTAATAATGTAAACATAAAAAACTGGTTCACAAATAAGTCCTTAGCTTGACCTACTTTCCACCTGTAGCTTCTTTTAAGCTCGGTCTTATGGTATATTTTTATTAAAAGTTATACATTGTTGGAAGAACAAGCATAATAACAATATCTTTCAGTAACAGTGCAAATCAACATTATGTTTAAATTATAAAATGAATAACCATGTTGGCTAGTAATATCACAAAAAAAAATAAAATAAAATACAACAATTAACAATGCAATTAAATAAACAATATTAAACCTTATTGTATAATCCAAGTACCCATTTCCCATTCCAATATGGAGAAAGGGAATCAAGTACCAGTGTTAAATGGTCAACCTTATTATAATTCCTATTAGGCACCAACTGCTGCAGTAGCAGACTGTTATAAAATAATACGTAGTTTAACAACCATTAACATAAAGTGCAGAGAACCATTAACGTAAAGTGCAGAGAACTTTTACATAAAATAGTAAATAAATATTTTAGTGCAATTTAAACAATGAGTCTACGTGCTTTCTGCGCAGCAAAGGTCTTTGAAATGTTGGAAAAATCAAGACCGCAAAGTATATCAGATTCAGCAGACATTATAGATAGTTTGGTGAGACGGCTCTGGCTCATGGTTGTGCGTTGTAAGTTTTTTATCAATTTCAGTTTTGAAAAAGATCGTTCACCTGAACTGTTAGAGATCATTAAAGTAAGGTAGATTTTTAAAGCAATTTCCGTGTTCGGAAAAGTATCTCTTACATCCTTGTCATTAATTGTACTGTACATGAATTGCTCTATGCTGCAATCGTCTGGTTTTTCATCCAGGAAAAGAGAAATGAATGACTGAAATTGAATTAGTTCATCACCAAATGTTGTGCCCAGATCATGCTTGTAAAAAGCAGACAACTTTTCTGCTGCAATGTTAATGGATTCAGAGTCCATCGCTGGAAAGTTTATAAAGAAACCAAATAAATCACACACTTCACTGTAGGCTCCTAGGCGATGTTCCAGACACATTAAGTTTGTCAACACATGGGAGAAAGGCCTTAGCATAAAAGGCCTCCTTTGGCGTTAATTGAGCTTCTTCACTGTGTCCATAGTCAAGTGGCTGCTGACGGACATTCCGACGTTGAAGACGGCGGTGTTCCACAATATACTCCTCAGTATCTGTTAGACGCTTGCCAGCTTCTTCAAATGCATCAAATTTAGTACGCTGTTCATTAATAAAATCTTTTAACGATTTCAAAACACCAACAGCAGCATTTAGGTTCAGCTGAACAGACTGCAGAGTTTTGCTGCTGCTGTTGAAACGCTGCAAAACAGTGTTCCAGAATTCTGCAAAAATCCCTGTCTCAAGTCTGCTTATCTGATAAAATAGTCCCTTTGCAGTATTACGGCACTCGGATTTTTCTTCAATGTCCGTTGCAAATTCAAACAAAATGTCCATTATATTGTCATAGCCATAGACTAATGCTTGACAAGCATCTGCACGACATGACCAGCGTGTGTCACTTAGCTTTTTTGGCATGGACACAGAGAGGCCTTTCTCATCAAGCTGGTCTTTAAGCTTCTTGTAGCGCCGAGTTGAACCACTAAAGAATGTATAAAGAGCTTGTACAAAATTAAAAAATCTTACAGCCTCACTACACGAATTTGCAGCATCCTTTCCGACAAGATTTAATGAGTGTCCAAAACAAGGTATGTACTTAGCATATTTATTCATGTTAAGAATTCTTGCTTGCATGCCCTTGTAGTGGCCAGACATGTTGCTTGCATTGTCGTAACTTTGTCCCCGGCATTCTTGTATGGTAAGTCCAACGCTATTAAGAAATGCTAGGAGCGCATCTGCCATTTCTTCTCCTTTATGCCCTGTTGAGGGTAAAAAAGTAACAAAACGCTCCACAGGTCGATTTTCTTCTAAGTATCGAATAATCACGGTGAGTTGGTCAGTATGAGAAGAATCCTCCGCTGAATCCACAGAAACAGAGTAGTATTTTGCCATCTTAATACGGTTGATGACAACTTCTAAGATCTTATCCCCAGTAATTTGTATGAGTTCCTCACAGACATTTGCTGATAAATAACTTGTACATCCTTTGCCTTTGTTTGCCTTTGTTTGGATGTGTTGTGCTAGGAAAGCATCATACTCTGACAGTAATTCCAAAATACCGAGATAGTTGCCATTATGTGGGGATCCAATAGTCTGATCATCACCTCTAAAAGCCAATCCTCTCTCAGCAAGAAAAACGATGACACTAAGCAAACGTTTTACTAGGTTTTGCCCATAGGTGGTCAGCTCTTCAATTTGCTGTTGCATTTTATAGTCAATCCGACCTTCCAGTTTTGAAAATTTGGCTGTATCAATCACAGCGCGTATATGATGTTGAGACTGTTCATGGGATGAAATCCGTTCACTGGCATGTTTCCAGTCGCTGAAGCCATCACTGGAAAATGCATTTGTTGATGAACTAAATAATTTGCAGTCAAAACAGTATATTCGGCCTCTGTTATTTGAGTAACAAAGCCACTTCCTTTCAACTTTGTCCCCATTGGGACAGTTACGAAGAAACATATCTGCTGTACAGCAACGTCCATCTTTAAATGATTTTGGAAATCCTTCATTGCGCAGTTTTTCCAGAGGTTTCCTTACTGACAAATTTCCATTTTTGGACCAATACTCCCGCATCTCAAGAGTAGATGAGTTGGGCCACAAACCAATGTCAGTTAGGAAACCTGACTTTTCCATGGATTTTGGCGGTATATCAACTGCTTCAGCAGTTGCGTCTTGTATTTCAACAGTATGGAAGCTAGGTTTCTCAACTTCCATGGGAACTGGAGTGGTTTCTAGTGACATGGGCTGATCAGAGGAATCCACTTGACTTCAGAGCCATATTCTGATACACTTTGAGGAGGAATCTCTTCCTGAGAACATGTACTAGCATGTTCTTTAGAAGATCCACACGCAGAAGGCTGTGCAGAAGATCCACTTGTAGGTAAAAGAAAACCAGTTATTTTTGGAATTCTACATATTTTTTCCTCCAACTCCTGCTTCTTCTTCCGCTTCTGAGCACCACTCAGAGGTTTGGACATGTTGAGGGCAGTCAGGCTCCTGAATAAATAAACGCGATTGACACTTCCATAAACAAAAGTCAATAGAGTGAAAATACATATATTTTAATAGGATTTTTGCATATTTAAAACGTTGATGTTACAGCCAAGCATGCTGTTTAACTTACTACAGATGAAAAGTTCCCACAGAAGGCATCTAATGAGAGCATGCGCCACACCAATCCCCTTCCTCCTCTCGCTGTTCTTCCATGCTTTGTCTGCTCTTCCCTTCTGTAGCTGTGCTCATGACTGTTGCATGGATCTTCTCTCTGACGGGTTAAGACTCCAGTGCATGCATGTATACACGCAAGAGTAAACGTGCACGCCAGTGAAGCTTCCTCTTCTTTCATCAAACGATTTCGTCCAACATTAAAGGACCACTATAGGCACCCAAACCACTTCAGCGCAATGAAGTGGTCTGGGTGCCAGGTCCATCTAAGGTTAACCCTGCAACTGTACACATAGCAGTTTCAGATAAACTAGTATGTTTACAATAGGGTTAATCCAGTCTCTAGTGGCTGTCTCATTGTCAGCTGCTAGAGGCGCTTCCACGCTTCTCACTGTGAAAATCACAGTGAGAAGACGCTAAAGTCCATAGGAAAGCATTGAGAAATGCTTTCCTATGGACTGATTGAACGTGCGCGCGGCTCTTGCAGCGCATGTGCATTCAGCGCTGACATCGGAAGAGGGAGGAGAGTTCCCCAGCACCGAGGGAGCCCAGCGCTGGAGAAATGTAAGAGTTTAACTGCTTCCTCCCCTTCAGCATGGCGAGAGTGGGACCCTGAGCGTGGGGGGGACCTAAAGACGCTATAGTGCTAGGAAAATGAGTTTGTTTTCCTAGCACTATAGTGGTCCTTTAATACAACTTACAGTAATGTGAAGTGTATCGCACGGCTCCACAGCAATACAACTCACAGTAATGTGCGATGTGCAAGTACATCACAGATCACCTCAGAATAAAATGCATAGAAAAGTGGAGTGTATGAGTATCACAAGCTCTATGGCAATACAACTCACAGGAACGTACAATTTGTGAGTGTATTACAGATCATCTCTTTAATACAATGCACATGAATGTCACATATATGCACATGTATATCATACCCAACCCACTGCTTTCCCATAGAGAAGCATTGGGAGGCTATTGCGCATGCGTGGCCTCATAGAGATGCTTTGAATCAATGCATTTCTATGAGGAGTGTTTAGCGCGAATGCAACGTTGTGCAACACTGGATTAGGAAGCACCTCTAGTGGCCGTCTGATGAGTGGCCACTAGAGGTATTCCTCAGCAGTAATGTAAATACTGCCTTTTTTTCTGAAAAGGCAGTGTTTACATTAACCCCTTAAGGACGGAGCCAAATGTACACGTTGTGAACAAAACAAAATGTAAACAAAACCTGGCATTTGCGCTACATGTCTGTCCAACCGTAATTCACCTCTTTCATAGTAAATGCACCCACCCTTATTATATATCATTTTATTCAGGGGAAACAGGGCTTTCATTTAATATCAAATATTTAGCTATGAAACATAATTTAATATGAAAAAAATGGGAGAAAATACAATTTTTTTAGTTCTACATGACATTTTAACGGTCAATGTCATAATACTGTTTGCTTTTACTGCAATAAAATACACATATTTGTATTCAGCAAAGTCTCACGTGTAAAACAGTACCCCCTATGTACAGGTTTTATGGCGTTTTGGGAAGTTACAGGGTCAAATATAGCACATTACATTTGAAATTGAAATTCGCCAGATTGGTTACGTTGCCTTTGGGACTTTATAGTAGCCCAGGAATGAAATTTACACCCATAATGGCATACCATTTGCAATAGTAGACAACCCAAGGTATTGCAAATGGGGTATGTCCAGTCTTTTTTAGTAGCCATTTGGTCACAAACACTGGCCAAAGTTAGCGTTAGTATTTGTTTGTGTGTGAAAAATGCAAAAAATGCCAATTTTGGCCAGTGTTTGTGACTAAGTGGCTACTAAAAAAGACTGGACATACCCTGTTTGCAATACCTTGGGTTGTCTACTATTGCAAATGGTATGCCATCATAGGGGTAATTTTCATTCTTGGGCTACCATAGGGTCTCAAAGGCAACGTACCCAATCTGGCAAATTTTAATGTGAAAAAAATGAAACGCAAGCCTTATATTTGACGCTGTAACTTTTGAAAACACCATAAAACCTGTACATGTTGTACTCAGGAGACCTAGCTGAACACAAATATTTGTGTTTCAAAACAGTAAAAAGTATCGCAGCAATAATATTGTCCGTGTAATGCTGTTTGTGCGTGAAGAATGCAAAAAACTTCACTTTTACTGGCGATATCATCGTTGTAATACATTTTACTGTTTTGAAAAACTAATATTTGTGTTCAGCGAAGTCTCCCGAGTAGAACAGTACCCCCCATGTACAGGTTTTATGGTGTCTCGGAAAGTTATAGGGTTAAATATAGTGCTAGCAAATTAAATTACTTTTGGCATGGGTTGTCAGGCAGGTCCTGCTAATTGTAATTAATTAAGATACCTAATTATGTAAAAATATTACATAAATATATATGTATGTGTGTATATATCTATATAATTTTTTAAAAATATTTTTATTTATATATAGGTATATATATATAGTGATATATACATATATATTTATGTATATAGATATATATATTATTTCGTTCTACGTGTATTTTGATATATATATATATATTAATTTCACAATACAGTTAGAACGAAACACATCTATATATTTTTAAATTATTTTTTTTATTTTATTTTTTAACATATTTACATTTTTATTTTTTTTATATTATATATAAATATATATATAACAATAATTATATATATTTAATCAGTATCAGTCTATGTGTAATTTGATATTAATATATATATATATATATATATATATATATATATATGTGTATATATATATATATTAATAGTAAAATACACCGAGACGGTGTACGTGTGTGTATGTATATGTGTATATATACTTAGATTTTATATATATATATATATATATATATATATATATATGATCTAAGTATATATTATTTTTTTTTTACACTATTTATTTTAATATTATTTTCAGCCAGCAGGGGGACCACCTGTCATTACAGGCAGCCCCCCTGCTGGCAATGCAGGAGGCAGCTACCCCCGGCCATGTGATTGTGAGGTCCTCGCAAGGACCCCACTCTCACATGGCCGGGGGGCTTCGAGGAGGACGGACGTGCCGCGGGGTGCTCCCTGGGAGTCCCCCCCACCGCGATCGTCTCCGCGTGACGTCACCTTTTTAACCCCTTAAAACCGGAGGGCGTACTATTATGCCCGGCGGCGTTTAGAGCCGCTTAGAATAGGGCATAATAGTACGCCCTCCGGTCTTAAGGGGTTAAAAAGCCTGCAGAGACAAGTTATAGACACCAGAACTATAACGTTTAGCTGTTGTGGTTCTGGTGACTATAGTGTCCCTTGAAAATAGAGGGGAAAAAAAGGATCAGCACAAAAGTATTAAATAAAATGGCTGTATCATTATAATAAAAATTAAAAAAGCACAACTTCTGACACAAATATATAGTATTTAACAGATTACTTTATTTTTAACAATGTGATAGTACTGTGCTACTAACCCCTCTAACCACCC